GCCCATGATGATGATAATGTGGTGGTGATTGATGATGACGAGGATGACGATAGTAGTAAAGAGACAGAGAATAACAGTAGAGGATCGCTAAAAACGTCGTTCTTTTTGGTGGGTGCTAATTTATTTCTTTTGTTGCCTGGTGTATAATAGAATCGCATATCCATCCCCGTTACTGTCCCTACTCCTTCCAAAATCATCGCAGAGACATGCTACAACAAATGTCGTGTTCGACAGACGCTGCTCGTTCTATTGGTGGTCGTTGTGTACAATTCGAATCAGTGGATCGAGAGACCGTCGTCGGTTTGCGTGGTTGTTACTTTTATTTTTGCCAGTAGAGTGTAATACAATCGCATATCCACCGACTGTTCCTGCTGCCACTCCTTCAAAAACCATCGCAGAGACATGCTACAACAATTGTCGTGTTCGGAAGACGCTGCTCGTTCGATTGGTGGTCGTTGTGTACAATTCGAATCCATGGTTCGTGAGACCGTCGTCGTCTTCGTGATTGTTACTTTTATTTTTGCCAGTAGGGTGTAATACAATCGCATATCCACCGACTGTTCCTGCTGTCACTCCTTCAAAAACAATCGCAGAGACATGCCACTACGACCGTCGTGTTCGGAAGAAGCTGCTCGTTCGACTGGTTGTCGTTGTATGCTATTTGAATCAGTGGATCGTGAGACCGTCGTCGCTTTGTGTGGTTATTGCTGTTATTTTTGTTGTTGTACATGAAATAGCACCGCCATTCTCCATCGTGGCTATACAATGTACAGGAAATCATTAACACAAGAAACAAAAGTACACGCACAAGGCCGCACAGAACGTTCACGAGCAAAAAGACGGCTAGCCTTTACCTCTTTTCCTTGTAGATTTACACCAGATTCAAACAGTAATCGTTGGAGCGAGTCCAATTCCTATAGAAACAAAATCCGTCAACACAATTCTGCTCCATCTACTAATTAAAACATGGCCGCCCTCCCCAATGCCAGAATGTTCTTCAGCGAGGTCGTCATAAGATGTGTTACCTTTTTTTTTGAAACCGTCTTCGCTTTTACATTAAGAAAAAGAGTACAGTAAAGTATTTTTTGTGGTAGAGAAAAAGAAAAAAGTGGAGCGCCCTTTGCTGTTCCCCAGTAGATTCGCCATTTTCCACCAATTACATTGCCCAAATCCCGTTGTCATTCCGTTGTCATCGGTCGCCACTTGAAATAAATTTCCGTTGTCATCGTTGTCATCATTTTCGCCGTGGCGACCAGGTCGCCACGCCGAAAATGATTCTAGGTAAATAAATATATAAATGTTGTTGTTTCATCTTTCTTCCCTCTTTCTCTCACTTTTCTCACTCAAGGTAAGTTATTTCCTTTTTTGGATTATTGGGAGATTTTTCCTCTCTTTTTCCTTTTTTGGGTGTTTGGGAGGTTTTCCCCTTTTTTTCCTTTTTTGGGTGTTTGGGAGGTTTTCCCCTTTTTTTCCTTTTTTGGGTGTTTGGTAGTTTTTTCTCCTTTTTTTCCATATTTGGGTTGTTGGGAGGTTTTTCCTCTTTTTTCCATATTTGGGTTGTTGGGAGGTTTTTCTCCTCTTCTTCCATATTTGGATAGTTGGGTGATTTTTCTCCTCTTCTTCCATATTTGGATAGTTGGTACTTTTTTCCCCTCTTCTTCTATATCAGTCATTTCATTCCTTTTTCCCCTCTTCTACTACATAAAGTCTATATAAAGTAACCTTGGGCTACTAAGCTTTCTTTGCTCATTTTTTTTGCTCTATTCATTACCATCTTTACCTCCTTTCGAAACATGCTCCTTGACATGCTATTTCCATTTTACACTTTTTTTATCAATGTTTTCACTTCCAAATCATCTTAATCCTCTTCAATAGCTCTTTCAAAATGCCTATCGACCGCCAGCTCTTTACCACCCTCCACAAAGTCACCGTCAATGGTAGGTTTACTTATAAACAAAACATGGACCTTCGAAACTAATATCCTATTCACTAGTCCCCAATGCCACTCTCAAGCCCACCTTGGAAGCCATTTTGGAGGCAATGGATCGTGGTAAGTACAATTAGCTGCTAACTACAAAATTATCACATACTTACATAGTTATCTTAGTCCCTGTTGAAACTACAAAGGAGACCCTTAGAGGTTACTTGGCAGATCTCGAGGATCTTATGCAAATGGAGGCTGATTGTGAAGCTCTAGTCCCACAGCAACAACAACAAGAACAAGAAGACATTGAAGACGAAGACGTCGAAGAAGAAATCGTCTACTTGACTCCTACAGAAGATGAAGCGTAAGCACTTTTAATAATTAAAATAATCATTTCCTTACTAAAATACTAAAATTAAATAATATACAGCTCTGAGGTCGAGGAACTCCAACCCTGGGAAGTTGCAATGCGTCAGGACCCTTTCTACCGCAATTTTTGGTCCACAAGTAACCAACTAGCCAAAGGTAACCCTTCTTTATCCCATTATTTCTCAGTCTATTAATATTCCTTCTATAAGTATAGTCTACAAAAAGTTCCATACTTTGGCTACCCCTAGACATGGTGCTCCTCTCACTTCGGTCATCCTTGAGCTGAATACCACTACGGTTGCTACTGCATCAGCTTGTTGCATTCACCTAGACCAAGATATAGAAGGCATCAACTTTTTTAGTTATATCCGTAACTACAATGAACAGCGACCAGAGCAAATCATCCACCATGCAATCAGCGGAACACCCTTCGAAGCCTTAGATCAAAAATTGATAAAGTCCGTCCATGCCATCTTGTGCGCTTACCTCCACTACAAGAATGGCGGTAATCTGAATCAACTTGGCTACAAGAGAGAACTGAATGAATTGGCGAAAGGTACTTCCAAAATACAAACTTACACAAATTATTTCTAATTCCTCTTTTTCTAGTTGGATTGCCAAGATCGGCCAAGCCTAGCCATACAATAACTGTCGGTTATCGTATGCTGGCTTTCTACAAGCAAGCTGGCGCCTGGCCAATCCTCTTTTCAGACAAGTTTAACTGGCCTTTCTTCCTCTCCGTACGTAACCTTTTTCTTTCTCACCCTGCTTTTTACTAACATACTTTCTTTAGTTCTCCTCGGACAACTGGGCCTATTTGGAGGAAAATGACTTTTCTCCTTTGTGTCCTTTAATCACACCAATCATTCCTACAATCAATATCCACCTGCCTCGCTTCGCTCGGCTGAATGAGCCCCTTCGCTGCGCTCCGGGTCATTCAACGGATTGGATGTTTCCTGGGGGTTCCCCCCAGACCCCCAAGTTGGGGGGTTCCCCCCCACACCCCCCTTCTAAACCCTAACCAAAGCTCGCTTCGCGAGCTTATTTATTGCTATGACTACATATAACCCTAAACGTTATCATTATTGCTATGACACGAAACCCTACTACACGTTGGTTTGTCAAATTAAAAGGGACGACAGAGGAACTTTTGACTGGTATTTCACTGTTAATGCGAGGATAACTTATTTGTTGCTATCGACAGCTCTTACATATTTTTGAAAGCTCATCAATGTGACCGCTTTCATTTGAACATCATGGTAGATTATTGCTGCTTGTCGTAATTAGCTGAAAGGTGACGGCAGCTTCGCGTAGTTCTATATCTTATTGTTTCGCGTCAGATCTACTTACGAAAGATACCGTGAAGAAGTAAGAATATTCTATTGTACGTTAAATGATAATAAGTGAAAATAAGAGTTTAGAAGCAAAAAGAAAAAGAGCAGAAAAGGGCTTAAGGTGATGGAGGTGGAAATGCGGTGATTGTTGTTGTGGGAGAGGTTGGTGGTGAATTTTCGGCTTGTTCAGGAACAGAGGCCGGCGGATGCAAGAGAACTTCTTGGTAGACGATGTTGGTGGTTTGTGGTGGTCCAGACCCTGAGAGATCGATGGCAACGCGAAGATTGTTAGGGTCAGTTGCCCGAGATAGCGCAACATATAGTTGGCCATGAGCAAAGACATCTTCTGCAAGGCGGACACCGACATATTGCAGGGTTTGCCCTTGCGCTTTGTGGATGGTCATAGCAAAGGCAGGGCGGACAGGGAATTGGCGGCGGCAGAGGATGAAGGGATAATCTCCTTCCATTGTACACATATTGATACGTAGAAGGAAAAATTCCGGGCCACGACGCCCTTGGTCAATTCTTTTCACGGCAATACACCGATCAAGAAGCCTTGTCACGAACAATTTTGTGCCATTGCACAGGCCGGCGTCGGGATCCAAGTTGCGCATGAGCACTACAGGCATGCCAGGCTTGAGCTGTAACGTATGGCTAGGTATGCCATTAGCGCTGAGACTGTTTAAAAACTCGACGGGATAGTTGACCACTGCTGCTTCTGGGTCATCAGCGTCTATGATACGGTCATTGGCAGCATAATCGCGCCCTTCACCTGGAAAAATACCGTAGGCTGCCTCGTTAATCGCATCGACGTCGACGTTTTTTGCTGCCAATATGGCGCGAGCGTTGAAATCTTCAGGGTGCGGCTGTGGATTGCGTATGTTGGGATATATGGCGTCTATAAGACCCATGGTGTCTGCTGCATCCATACGCCATTCCTGAGAAATTTCTACGCTTTCTGTATATGGAGCACGTCCATCGCCAATGGCAAGAAGTGTCTCAGCAAATGCGGGAGCAGCAGGACCGGCGTGACGTACACGCATGTTGATGGTCAAATGCAATACTTGAACATCACTCCAAAAAGAAGCAGAACGGATGCAATCACCAACAATTTCGGACCGAGTCCCTTTCTTGACGACGGGCAGCAACTGGCGAAAATCACCACCAAAAACGACAACTTTTCCACCAAAAGCAACATTGCTCAGGCGAGGGTCAACGGCACCCATGACATCACGAAGTGACCTGTCAACAGCTTCGAAATTCCATTTGCTGCACATAACAGCTTCATCCCAAATGATAAGAGAGGTACTCTGTATCAAGTGTGCATGAGGACCACCGAGTCGAATATTGCAGGAAGTGGACGCGTCTGCATTCAACGGAATCTTGAAGCGGCTATGTGCAGTGCGCCCGCCAGGGAGCAGGATTGCAGCGATACCGGAAGAAGCGACAGGCAGTGCAATCATGTCGCGGGAGCGCGTATGGCTCAAAAGAGTCTTGAACAGCTGAGACTTGCCAGTTCCTCCAGGTCCATTCACGAAAAAAACACGTGGTTGGTTGTCGTCGTCAGGTCGGCTGATGGCAGTGGAGATGGTGTCGAAGGCGTGTCGTTGATCGTCGTTTAATGTTGGCAACAGCGTCTGAAGAAGATGACGCTGCTCTTCCTGATCGTACTCGCGCCGTTCGACAATCTCGAGTGCTTCCAAAGGAGGCAACAGATCAAGTTCGGTGACAAACTCTTGAGGGAGAGAGGGGAATTCTGACAGACGATGACCGGTTGCTTGTAAACGTGACTCGATGTCACCAAGTGCTCTTTGGTAAACCTGGTCTAGTTGATCGGGTGTCAATTCGGCCTCATTTGGCATAGAGAGCGACCTGCGCATCTCGAAAAAGTAGTCGTCGGCCATTCGATCGCGATAGGTGTTCCATAAGGACAGCGGATCAGCAGGCGAGCAACTGGTAAGTATGCACACAAAAAGTGCGCGGATTGCGATGCAGATGGTGCTACTGCTGATGCTTCTTCTAAGCAACGATTCCATTCATCATCTGACTCTAGAAGACCACGTGCTAACGCTGCTTGCTGGAATGTTGGATGGTTCACGCCATCGCTGTCTCGTTTGAGATCGTCAAAGCTTCTTGGTCCAGCCACAGAAAGCAAAAGAAGGCGAAGACAGTACAACTCCATATCGGACAGAGAGGCAGAGTAGATGCGCGTCACCACATTCTTAAAAGGGGGATTGGAGCGGCGGTCCCATCGACGCTCTCGGGCATTCCAAGTGTAATGACAGGGAATCTGCGGATACTTGAATTGCTGGGCGGATTCGTCCCGACGACAAAGAGCAAAAAAGCCCAAAAGCCTGGTACCCTCCCTTGCAGCCTCGCGAGCAGCTGCCAATTGCTCTGGTGTCATAGTGTCGCGGAAACGCACCAATTGTTGTTCTGGCAGGTGAATGTCGAGACGTACAACCATGGGATCATGCATGTGCACACGAAACTCTAAAGCTCGCCATACTGCCTCACAGGGTCCAATATATCGCGCGTTCTGATAATCAGTGACTTCATTGGTCTGCTCAGCAACTGGGTCGGTAGGTGTAGTGGTTGTGGTGGTGGAATTGGCTGTGGCGGTGGTAGTAGTGGGAGGAGTAGAACGGGTTGTTTCCAACTGCGCTCTGTCGGATCCTTTGGTGATGTACTTGCAAAGGTATTTGATTGCCCGAGCAGAGGTACAGATCTCGACGTTGATATGCGCGTTGTACTTGTGACAGAGGTAGGGGTTATACGGGACGACGTGTTGGTTGGTAGCGGTGAAACCCGATCGCTCAAAAACGTGCTGACGTTGGGGATTGAAAACCCTTTTATATAGAGGGTAACCGTCACGATTTACGCGAGTCTCGTTGTTGTACGGCTTTGGATAGCCCTGGGAGCATCGACCATTCTGCATACAGACGGCATTGGGGTTATCGTTGCCACAGGGACCGTGTATCATGCTTGATGTTACTGTGCGGTACAGCTGCGGCTGTCTCACAGGGTCTGGTAACTCAGCTGATACAAATCGGTCATAGTCAGTTGGCGTGTGAGGGCGGTCTTGCTCGTTCAGGATCAACAGAATGTGGACATGAGGTAAACCTCGCTTCTGGAATTCGACAGTGGCGACATAGCCCTCAACACGACCAAAGCACTTGGATTCCTTGACATGCTTGAGCAACTCGGTAATCTTCAAATGGAATACGCGGGAACAGATGTCGGGACGATCATACGCCTTTTGCCCAGGATGGAGCTCAGCAAGAATCTCTGGCCATTTGGGATTGCACGTAAACGTGATGAATAGCGTTGGTGTTCCTCTTTGGCGAATAATTGCGAGGCCATCTTGAAGCATTTGCTTCATATACCGCGGACCACCCATAAACGACGACGGCAAAATCACAGCACGACCGACTTGGCGTGGATCTACACCATCACCGATACCACCATACAGTTCGGAACGCAAAGTGTCTTGATTCAACGAAATGAAAAGCAGGCGAGATGCTTCAATTCTTGCATAATTGTCGACAACCAATTGCTGGAACAATCGACCAAAATGGTGATCGAAAGTCTCATTGTCGCCACCGCGAACCATGAGCATATATGCGCAATAGTCGAGCAATGTCACTGTATGCATATTACCATCCACTCCTTCACACCGCATGCCCGCGAACCAACCATGGTCACCAAATGGATACATGAGGACATAATGAAGCGGAAGATATGATGAGTGAAGGGAGCTAACGTATTGCAAACCTCGGGTACGGTCATGGATGACGATGTCGTGTGGTGTGGTTGACCCATCCACCCTATTTTCCACAACCATTGCTGCGACCTCTGGATATGTTTGTTGATCGTAGCGGCGTCCCAGATCCGATGCGCCACGAATGACGACGCTTAGTGATCCAATTGGACGATCACCAAGGCGTTGGGCGGCAGATGTCAGAGTGCGTGCAAACGGATTGTGTTGGGTCATGACAGTTTGGATACGATCGATGATACCCTGGTCGAGGCCCGAAAACAATGTCGTCCTGCGTGCTACTTGTTCTTGGGTATCAGCGAAATAGATTTGGGCAAATTTGGACTGTGCGTGATCCTCGGCCCGCAAGGATCCAACTTGATGGTATAGTGTACCATTGATGCGATACGTCGACACACCATTTCTGCCGTCTGCCAAGTTGCGGTCGTAGTTTGCCTTGATGGATGCAAAAGCAAACATGTTGTTGTAGGCTCGAATATTGGTGTGGAAATTGAGAGCAACTTCATTATCACGACTGTGATCCGTCACCAATTCACGAAGGTCGGCGGGTAATGGGCGGGGTGAAGGGAAGCGAAAGTTGCCATGATTACAGCACATGCCAAACTGAGGACGCGAAACAGAAGAACGGGAGACTCTTTCATCCACCCACATGAGTGCATGGCAAAAGGAACATGCCCTATCCATGCGTGGCAAAACATGGCGGTGATACGAATCGCCTG